AGGAAGCTGTCAGTGATTGCACAGGTCACAAAGAAATACATCTGTGTGAGGCACTGGGCAAAGGAGATCTTCTTGGTCTTGTTCAGCATGTTTGCCAGCATCCGTGGCACGATGACATTTGTAAAGCAGATGTCCACCAGGGACAGATTGGAGAGGAAGAAGTACATGGGGGTGTGGAGGCGGGTGTCCCCCCAGATGGCTGCAATGATGACTGAGTTGCCAGCCACGTTGACCAGATACATGGCCAGAAAGCTGGCAAAGAGCCACTCCTGGTGCTTAGGGTCACTGGTCAGTCCCAGAAGGAGGAATTCTGTGATGTGACTCTGGTTTCCCCTTGACATTTTTATCCTGCAAGTAGAAAATACAAAGGAATGTTAGGCATGTGTACTGGCTTGGAGTCTCCAGTTGTTATAACTTCCCGTGAAGGCTGGTATAATTGATGAGAGTATGCATTTTTGATGTGGCTTCAGGAACTGGATTCTTACCCTTGAAATGGGTGCAGTGAAGCAAGGTCCAGAAAGAACAAAGCGGGACCTCAGTTTGGCAGGAATTGTGGCTCTGCTTATCCACATAAAGACAGAGACTCGGCTACAGTGAAACATAATCAGAAGTCAATTACCTGCTCTTGTGCTCAGGATGAAGTCATTCTGGCCAATAGCCAGAATTTAATCCTGGTCAGTCACTATGTTCCTGGCCTTGGACTCCTAATGTCCACCTTGCCTAGGGTCAGGATTAGTTTGAGAGCAGAATTCAGGAAGAGATCTGCAGATGTCTGCCAGTGACTCCAGATAAAGGGAGAAACAGGGGTATAAGAAACATGGGTGAAATGAAGTCTACTCCCAAGGACTCTATCAGTGATTTTTTTTTCAATGTTGAAAGCACTTAAATAAAATCCTTTGCAATGTTGGAAAAGATCCATACTGTCTGCATGTTCCCTAAGATGCAGAAGCATGGGCTTCTGAAGCATCTTTTTTTTTTTTTCCCCCAAGTGCTTGGAAGTATGGACCAATTTGATTTCTCTTACCAGGTAGAGCACAATGAGACACCACTGACACACAGAGGCCCAGGATATTACTTCGGCAAGGGCAGGGACCTGTCTGGCTGTTACACTGTATCCCCAGTTCACCACTGTATCCTTGTAGCAGGTGGAGAATACAAATATCAAACACATCAAGAGTATTTACATGTGCTAGGCACTGTATGATTATTTAATCCATGTAATAACTCTGGCAGTATACAGATGAGGAAACTGAAGATCATGTGTGGTTTTTTTAAATTTAAATTCAAGTTAGTTAACATACAGTATAGTCTTGGCTTCAGGAGTAGAACTCAGTGATTCGTCTCTTACATATGACACCCAGTGCTCATCTAGAAAAGTGCCCTCCTTCATGCCCATCACCTATTTTACACATCTCCCCACCCACCTCTCTTCCAGCAACCTTCAGTTTATTCTCTGTATTTAAGAGTCTCTTACGGTTTGCCTCCCTCTCTGTTTTTATCTTATTTTTCCTTCCCTTCCCTTCCCCTGTATTCATCTGTTGACTTACACTACTAGGAATTTATCCAAAGGGTATAAAAATGCTCAAGATCATATTATTAGTAAGTGGCTATATTTCCAATGCAAGCAGTTTGGCCTCGGGGTCTTGTTTTTTTTTTTTTTTTTTTTTTTTTTTTTTTTTTTTTTTTTTTTTTTTTTTTTTGCCATTCTGCTATATTAACTCTCTGCCTGTTACATATTTGCTAACAGAATAAACTCAGAGTGGACAGCTTTGACAGCACCTTGAATGATGGAGCATGTTGTATAAGTGCCAGAATTAGATTCTTTGGATCAGGAGAATT